TCCCAGCTCACGCAACAGTGAAACAACCCAAGTAACCTCAGCAGCAACATCGGCAAGGGCTTTATACTCAGCTTCGGTTGAAGAACGGGCCACAGTGCGCTGTTTCCAGGACAGCCAGGAGATAAGATTAGACCCGAGGAAAATAGCATAACCACTCGTGCTCTTCCTGTCAACAAGACACCCAGCCCAGTCAGAGTCCGAATAAGCATGAATAGAGGTAGTAGGTGATGCACTCAGACGTAAACCATAGTGAAGGGTCCCCTTAATATACCGAAGAACCCGCTTAACCATTGCCAAATGGTCGACAGTCGGAGCGTGCATGAACTGGCATAGGCGATTAACTGAAAAGGACAAACCAGGCCGTGTGATAGTGAGATACTGAAGAGCCCCAACAATGCGACGATATTGCGTCGGATTATCAAACAGTTCTGTAGACGGAGTTGCCGAGCGAGTAACCGAAGCCAGAGTAGTCAAGGGTTTACAGTCCACCATTCCAGCCCTAGTAAGCCAATCAGTCATGTAGCGCCGTTGAGACAGAATTATTCCACTAGCAACATCAACAGTTTCAATGCCTAAGAAGAAGCCCGGTTTGCCAAGATCCCGAATTTTAAACACAGTTGCAAGACGACCCAGTAGAGTATCAAGTAGGGAGGTGTTGTTGCTCATCATGATGATGTCATCCACATAGACGAGGAGGAAAACCTGCGACGCCTCTGAAGTGAGGTAGAATAGGGAGACATCCGTTTTAGACGAAGAAAACCCCGCAGATAATAAGAAGTCGTGTAGCCGTTTAAACTAGGCACGAGGAGCTTGCTTTAAACCGTATAGTGAGCGTTGTAGGTGGCAGACGTGATTCGGATGAGTAGGATCTTCATAACCCGGTGGTTGCTTCATGTAAACAGTTTCAGCTCGATGGCCATTTAGGAAGGCATTATGGACATCCAGTTGGCGCAGGACCCATTTGTTTGTGATTGCTAAGGAAAATAGCATACGTACTGTAGTCGGTTTGACAACTGGGCTGAATGTGTCAAAGAAGTCTTCACCTGCCACTTGGTTAAACCCCTTAGCTACCAGGCGTTCCTTATGTCGTTCCACAGCGCCATCTGCAGTACGCTTAGTGCGAAATACCCACTTGCATCCAATTATATTCATGTTAGGATCAGGTGGGACTAGACACCATGTGTTATTGTGCAGTAAGGCGTTGAATTCCTGGTCCATAGCATCCCTCCAGTGAGCGTGTCCAACAGCTTGAGAGTAGCAAGTTGGATCCGCCGTTGTTGTGGTAGTTAGGGCTTGAAATTCCTCAGCATTGCCATGAGTCATGTGCCGTAACCGCATGACATGACCTTGGTCTTGAGGCTGCGCCCGACCCCGACCCCGGCCTCGAAGCCGACCTCGTCTACGAGCCGTAAGATCAGGGGGCTCAATGGCTAAAGGAGGTGACTCATGAGCTAATGGCTCAGGGTCAGGACCAAGAGTAGGAACATGAGTGTACCCAGTACCCTGTATTGGTAATACTGGTGCAGAAGCCCACGACACGGGCTGTAACTCGTCCACTCGTGGTAAACAACCTGTTGCAAAGGGAAACACAGATTCGTCAAAATGAACATGGCGACAGGTATAAGTTTTCCCACTGATTAGATCCATGCACCTATATCCCCTAAAGGATGGTGGGTAACCTAAGAAGACACATGGAGTGGAACGGTACTCGATTTTATTGCGATTGTACGGTCTCAGGTACGGGTAACATTGACACCCAAAGACCTTTAAGAATTGATATGGAGGAAGCTTTCTGTATAGTTTGTAGTAAGGACTTTCAAATTTTATAGCGGAAGGGGGTTGATAATTGATTAAGCACGTTGCGGTCTCAAAGGCAAAATCCCAATATTGTTGTGGGACCGACCCTTGAGCAAGAAGAGCCAAGCCCGTTTCGACAATGTGTCTGTTGCGGCGCTCAACCCTTCCATTTTGTTCGTGCGTATATGCGCAGGATTGTCGGTGATTAATCCCGAGAGTTTCAAAGGTGGTATGCAGTTTGCGATACTCACCCCCTAGATCGGACTGAATGGATTTGATAGAGCGCGAAAACTGTCGCTCTACCAAGAACGAAACAAATTAAACATTTTATAGATGTCTGATTTTACCCTTAATGGATAAAACCAGGTGGAGCGAGAATAATCATCAACGAACAACAAGAAATACCGAAAACCACTAGAAGAGATAATTGGAGCAGGCCCCCAAATATCCGTATAAACTAAATCTAGTACATTTTCGCTAGATTGTTCAATTCTACTCAATGGAAAATGACAAGTCTTGCCAAGATGACAAGCAGTACATGACTCTAAAATAACATTATTTTGCTGAACTGGACAGTGTTTTAGAATTTTATTCTGAACGACACGGTGAGGATGACCAAGCCTGTGATGCCAGATTGTTGGCGTAGCACGAGAAGTGACGAACGCAAAGTGACTCCGGGACACGGGTAACTTGTATAGACCTCCGGAGGTAGGACCTTTAAGCAATATTGCCTTGGTGTTGGAATCCTTCAGAATGAAACAATTGAAGTGAAATTCAAAAAACACACTGTTTTCAGTAGCAAATTTCTAGACAGATAATAATGGCACAGTTAAATTAGGGACATGTAACACATTTGACAGAAACAATTGTTTAGACTCAGATGGGATTGATGCATGGCGAACCCGAGAGATTACTAAACCTGTACCATTCCCAACCCGGAGTGTGTCCGGGACATTGTATTCATTCGAGGCGGTCAGCATGCCTGCATCCGAGGTCGCATGTGCTGTAGCACCCGTATCGGGATACCATGATTCGGGCGGTGGTGCGGTGGACGCCGGCGACTTTCCGGAAACTGCGACATGTGCCTGGGCCGGCGGTTGCATGGTGTATCTTTTGTAGCAATATACCGCAGTGTGCCCCTGAGACCTGCAGATTTGGCACCTCGGCCACCGCGCTGATTGCGCCTACCTCTGCCGCCACGATGGTTCCGGCCGCCTCCGTCACCATGCGGCCCCCTACTACCACGACCATTCTGCTGCTGGCCACGACCGGCGTAGAACGCTGTAGGCGTCGAACCTCCATTGCCTCCGCCAGCGCCGAACTTGTCTGCAAGTATGAAATCGGCAGCCTGCAAATAGTCGGCCAACTGGGGAAGAGAAACCGAGGTGTTGGCGGTGAGGGCAGCGGCGTACGAGCGGTATTCCGGCCGCAATCCACGTAGTATGTACAGGTTCTGCTCGGACATGGTGAGCGGCTGTCCGGCTTGCGCTAGGGCCTCGACCAATAATTCCGCCCGACCGAGATACTCTGTGGGTGTGGCGTTACCTTGTCGAAGGGCCTGGAACTGTCCAAGCAGGTTCAGGCATCTCGCCTGAGTCGTGGAGCCCAATGCCGTGCACACCGAATGCCACACCTCGGCCGCGGTAGCCCGGCCAACCGCAAGGTGGAGGACCTCATCCGACATCGCCGAGATCAACAGGGACAAAATAGATTGATCTTGGCGTACCCACTGCTTATATGCCGGGTTCGGCACCGGAGTGGTCGTTGTCGCATCGGAGCCGGAGTCGCCATCCGTGGTGGTGAGCGTTGCCGGCGGACACGGATGAGTTCCGTCAATGAAACCTTCCAACTCCTAACCTCGTAGGAACGTGATAATCTGAGTCTTCCAGAATAGAAAATTCTGGGAAGTGAGTTTCATCGATATAAAGTGGTGTGCTCCAGCTAACGGGTTTGAGCCAGCCGAGGAAGGGCCATCGGCAGGAACGGGGGTTCTATGTGATGAGTTCGACGACATTGGCGGATAGATGGGATTTTGGGTACGGTGGTGGATGGGTTTCAGATGTGGTGGAGGAGAGAGAAAAGGAATTGGATCGATTAGGCTGATACCAGATGAGAATTCAAACTTTATTCAGTTACCGGTAGATAGGATTACAGAAGTGTATATCAAAGTCTACCTCTAAACTCTCCTATCTGCTAGGCTATTACATTAGACATAATCTAATACCACACATTAACTACTATAGGTTATATAATAATAATAACAATAATTATTAATAACACTCACATCATGGACCTACCATGTATCAACCAAATTATACATGTTATTCATGTTTTAGATTTTCAATTACACTTTTGCTCTTAGATTATATTGCTAAAAATCAGTTTTGTAAAAATTGCGCCTAGGCGCTAGGCGGCCGCCGACTGCTTAGAAATTTGGCGGAATCGCCGTTCTAGACGGTCGGCCGCCTAGGCGCTCTAGGTGTCCTAGGCGGCCTAGGCGCCGAGTAGTTCGTCGTGGACTAGGCGGTCATCTAGGCGCCCTAGGAAGTCGTTTAGGCACCCTAGATGGGATTTTAAATAATTTTTAATTAAAAAAAATCAAACGCCCTAGGCGCTAGGCGCCCCCCAGACACTTAGAGAGCGCCTAGCGATTTTTTCAACCTTGCTAAAAATAAAATACTTCAGTATAAACTTTGGACAATACCCTCTAGACTTCGTTCAAGCACTCATCCTCTTACTTCTTGCTTAATTCATGATGAGTTTCATCTTACCAAGCTACAACATTCGTGTGTGTGCGCACACTAAAATCCATCAATTTTGAGACATTTCCATTAAAGTTGGCCAACCTGTCAACTTGTTAATAAAAAATGTTATATGTACGACTCTCATTAGGAACAGTCTATTAACTTTCTTGGTTTGAGCTAATTAAATATGAGTAGCATAAACTGACTTACCTCTTTGTAACATAAACTGACTTACCTCTTTGTGATCATTTGCTGGCTAAGGTCATAAGACAGAATTTGCGTAATACACATCCAAAAATAGTAATTGCACGTTTCCTTCATCACTCAAAAAAACTAATCGATTTCGTAACCTTATAAATTTTAAGGATACAAAATGAATATTACCCTTGTTCAAGGGTTATAAGTATAATTAACAAAATTCAAATGTTAAAAACCTAAGGGGTCAAGACTCAAGAAGAAACAATCCTTATTATTTGTTGCCCCTTCAGAAGAAATCCAAAACATCCCTTTTCGCCCGCGGTTCATCACTGAAAATGGAAAGCACAGAGCGGGAAGAGCGACCGGCCGGAGAGGACGCCGCCGGGAAGAAGAAGAGCTTCGTGATAAACATCCCTTCGTATCAGGAGGTGATGGAGACCTCTCAGACCAAAACGGTGCCGTCTTCTCTCTTCAACCCTACGACTTCCTTCTCTCAAGCCTTCAATTTCGTCAAGGACTCAGAGTTCTACTCTCAGCCGCCGCCGCCGCCGCCTTCCTCTTCCGCTTCCGCTCCTCCGGCGTCGCAAACCGTCGCTCCAAGGTCTGTTATACACTAGCACGCTGTCCTCTTTGCATTAATACTCAGGCTTCTGTGTAATGCGTAATGGAAATATTGCATTTGTATTTACAATTAAATTGAGGCTAAATTAGGGGTTTTTAGGCCGATTATCCAATCAGAAGCTCCGTCTTTGTCGGCTACGCGGCCATCATCTTCTTCCACCGCTGTTCCTCCGCCGCGAAATGCTATACTTGTAAGCCATAGACAGGTAAGTCTGCAATGAAAGAAATTCGTGAAAATCATACATTAATTCGCATTTAGTAGAAACAAATGAAGTTTCATGCCGGATTCTCTACTAGAAGCTTTAGATTCAAGTGCATTTTCTTGTACAAAATTGTATATTTTACTGTGTTTACTAAATTTGTTAGAAATAAATGAACTTTTAGACTGTTTTTTTCCTACTAAAAACTTTAGATTCAAGTGCTTATGTTATTAGAGGAATAAATGATTATATTTTCCTGTCTATATCTGAATGTGAAATACACTAGAAAGAACCTGCGCTAATCCAAATTTGAAATGCACTAGAGATGAATTGAACATCTACAACAAGAACTGTAACTCGTGTAAATGCCATTATTCATGTTGATCTGTAAAAATAAATGTAAATCGTATTGTCTTGCTTCAGTTTTAGTTAATCTATTCTTTCCATTTCCCCGCACCTGCAGAAGGGAAATCCTATGCTTAAACATATAAGGAATGTTAGATGGGTTTTTGCAGATGTGGTTTCTGACTACCTATTGGGGCAGAATGCTTGTGCCCTATATTTGAGGTTCGAGCTGCTAACTATTTCATTTATATTAACATTTGGCTGGATAAAATAGATGCTTGATTATTGAAATTTGCTTTTCTATATGTTAATATTTGTTTGAGGTTCGAGCTGCTAACTATTTCATTTATATTAACATTTTGGCTGGATAAAATAGATGCTTGATTATTGAAATTTGCTTTTCTATATGTTAATATTTGTTCTCTAAAATTTCATTGTGAAATGAGGAGCATTGTATATGATGAACTTCTGTAATCTTTAATGCTTCATATGCTTCAAAGTTCTGTTTAAATAATTTCATAAACACGTTGTACTTTCATGTAGTCTTCGATATCATCTTCTTCATCCAGACTATTTGTATTTTCGGATAAGAGAGTTGCAGAAGAATTTTAGGCTACGTGTTGTTTTGTGCCATGTTGATGTTGTAAGTTTTCAATCTCTATTTAGACCTTTGGTCTTTTCTCAACATTTCTTACAAGCATTAATATGACTGACTTTCGGCATTTGATGCTCATAATTGCCTTTGATGCCAGGAAGATGTTGTTAAGCCTTTACTTGAAGTTACAAGGACAGCTCTACTTCATGATTGCACTCTATTATGTGCTTGGAGGTACCCTTTTAGTGCCCAATGGATGCAATAGACTCATCCTTCTTGGAGTTTCTTGCTTATCCACTTCTACATAAGTCTCCATTTTCATAATTTGTTTGGTATTTCCAATTTTGATAGTTCTGAAAACAGAAATTCGTCATGAAAATTTGTTCTTTTTTTCATACTAGTTTATAATCCGTATTTCTTTTGAACATATCATTAATCAATGACCTGAGTTCTTGAATATCTAAGGTGATTGAAACTTCATATTCAGAAACTAAGAATGCTCAATTGCTTCTTTCCTTTAGCTTGGAAGAATGTGCACGCTACTTGGAGACAATAAAAGTTTATGAAAACAAGCCTGCTGATTTAATTCAGGGCCAAATGGATACAGACTATCTATCTCGGGTATGTATGCTGTTGATCTCTTGTTCTAGCAATTGCCCTTTTAGCATGACATTGGCTAATCAGTGATTCAATGTTCATAAATTATACATGTCTTTGTAGGTCTGATTTCACTGAATGACACCACTAAATGAATTTCTTGTTTATTGCAGCTGAATCATGCTCTCACATCAATACGGCATGTTAACAAGACAGATGTAGTGACCCTTGGCTCAACATTTGGGGTATGTGTCAATTTTCAATGTGACGTGTTTCTGAAATTATTAGTCGCAATGTGACATGCTTCTTCATTTGCAGTCTCTTTCTAACATCATGGATGCATCCATGGAAGATCTCGCTCGTTGCCCTGGCATAGGGGAGCGCAAGGTTCTTTCTTCTCTGTCTTGCTTTTGTTGGTTTTGTTCTTTTATGGGGAAAAGAGGGCTGTTGTTTTTATCACTTTTCTTTAAATCTATTTACGTGAAATATATAAAGTAAGAGAACAAAATTGTATGTGCCGTTGCCTTTGTAGATAAAATAAGAGAAAATAGATGATTATTTGAGAACATACCAAGTAATGCTTAATGATCAACTTAAGTGTATTAATAGGAATACAAAGAAAAAAATGAAAGTAAAAACAAGCCAAAGGTAAAATGTATTAAAAGAGTAAAAAGCTTTTGTAGCCTAGAAAGTTTGAGACTTCGAGTTATATAGCTGATTCTACATCATGAGAGAAGGATGAATGGAGAGCTGATTGTTCAGAACCATACTGTCTGTCATTTTGCGACATTGATACACAAATGCAACATAAATTTGTTACTCTAACCAGAGTGCACGAGATTAAGTCTAGAGCATGTGCATCTTATCTTTTTTGAGTACTATTGACTGTGTTACAATACAATATCTGTGCATCTTATCTTAATATCTTTTGTCGTCTATTTATTGAAATTCATATAGCTGACAGTTAACACCATGTTGGCATCCAATAATGAGCAGGTAAAACGCCTGTATGACACTTTCCACGAACCTTTCCAGCGTGAAGTGTCTAAACATGCCGTTCCTGAAGCAGCTGCTAATGCAAATACCGGGGCAAGTCCTGCCCCTGAAAGCGAAGAGATCGAGACAGCAGTCAAAGATCCAAACAAGCGCAGAAAGAATGAACCCGACATAACAATCAAGTCAGCACTTTCAGCTGCTTTCGCCAAATATTCTCATAAAGTTGGTAGAAAGACTGATAAATCTCAACACGAAAAGGCCGAAGGGGAAGAAAACAACACCAATCCAGAAATGTTCAACTGTTGACAGGGACCAACCAATTACAAGAAGTTTCAGGGCAGAATAGCAATACAAGAAATGTTCAAAGAAAGTGTACTAAGTTGAGAAATCGAACAGAATTTTTTTGTAGTACAAGAAAAATGTATAGACTGGCAAACCTGTTGATGGTTCATTACAGGAAGCTGCAAGTTAATTATAACTCCAATAGCCAATCCAAAATTTTAAACTAAGATCAGTTACATTGCCGGGGATTTTAGTACATACAACCATTGCTAAAAGGAAAATATAGAAATGAAAGTAATAATTGGCACAAGAAAATGTTTATGTGAACAGCTTAAAGAAAACATTACAAGTTGTTTAGATTAGACATAAATCCATTTTTTGTATATGTGATAGTCTACTTTTAAAGTCCTTTTTATTAGAATATTCGCTTTTAGTCCTAGTATTATTGTGGCATAATCAATTATGGATTTTTTTTTTAAAAAAAAACATAAAAAAAATATAGTGGTTCAACCTACTTTGTATAAAAAAAATAAAAAATAAAAAAAAAGATTGAAATGTCGGTATTTAACGACATTTCAACAATTTTGTTGATGCAAAATTAAAAATGATCATGCCACAATAATTCTAGGACAAATAAAAATGTTCTAATAAAAAAGGACTAAAAGTGAACTATCACCTATAAATCTATAACCAAAAATGAAATTAACTCTTTAGATTCCAAAATTTCAGTATTTTGATGTATTATACATGTATATAAAGACTATCGGGAGAGTATATTTAATGTAGGGGAACTGTATTTTTAACCCCTCAATTGTTCCTTACTTAGTTGTTTTAGTCTTCAACTTTTTACAATAATAATGTACACCTCTAATTATTCAAAAAAAAAATTATAATAGCAACAAAATTATTAAATAATATTAAAATTTTACTTATATATAATCCAATATCTTCTCTTGAGTATTCACATTTAAGACAATTGACTGGTTTTTTATTTGCGCTTTTTAAGAAGGATAATCATGCCAAGCACCTTATACTTAGATGACACCTCTGTGGCTCTCTTTGAGGGAAGGTCACAGGAAATACTACCTTGCAAGTATTGCATGTTTGGTAGTAGGTGTATGACCCTATAATGGGAATAGAGTTTTTTTTTTTTTTTTTTTAAAGACAAAATAAAAAAAAAATTAAGACAATTGATTCTAATATAATAACATCCAAAATATCAATATGAACAAAAAAAAAAAATCAAAATAAAAATCTAAAAGTACTAATTCAGACTTAAAAATTAGATTGTCCATAAAATGAAATGATACGTACCCCTTCTTAATTAAGGAATGAGTTTTTTAATTGAACGGGTAATCAAATCCTATAGTTATGTTTTAAAAAGTTGTCAACCAAACACTAACTATGATTTGAATTCTCATTTCTAATGTGTAAACCCATGAATCAAACACACCCTAAATATGATTTTCATTTTTTTTTTAAATAAAGAAGCTAAGGCTGAAACGTTTACAATAAAGATCGATGGAATTGTCAAACATTCCTTACAGTCAGACATAGAAACAACTTCCCTAGCAATGCTACAGAAAACTTGATTCGTAGACTGTTTCACAAATTTGAAGCCGAATTCTTTGGAGGAACTTAAAGCTTCTTTAATGATTTGGTCAAACATACCCAAGACTGACACTGATTGAATAGTCTCGCACACCACCTGAGTATCTATTTTCATTCTTCTACCCATTGACAATATCTCCATCGGCCTGAACTGCATATCATAGTTCAGAGGAGTCTCTTTTTCATTGTTATGTTTGTCACCCAGGATGAGATTCACATACGCCATGACCAGTTTTATCGTTTCACGCTATATGAAAAAGAACTCGCCAAGTAAACGAGAGGAAGAAACTCATCAAAACAACCAGCGGAAAAACACATAAACTGCAAACAAAATTAAATCAATAAAACAAAGCAAAGGGAAAATACAATGCGAAAATAAGGGAGTAACGACTGGTAAGGTGGAGATGGAGGGGGTGGGGTAATGCGTAACCGAATAATGGAAGAGAAGACAGTGAAGGCAGAGAAGACAATAAAGGCAGACGCCGTTTGTGGTGGAAATGAAGATTGGGGAAGACGATCGGACGCCGCTTCCGATCCGCTTGTTTCACGGAGGCGGCGGCCGTGGATAAACTTTATATGATTTTCATTTTTTAAAATTACTTTTTAAGTATGGGATGACATTCGTATAGTATCTCTTCAAAATAATATATTTTATTTCGAAGTTCAAATTTAAGCCATTTGCCCTTTGAAAGGGGTGTGACTTTCAATCATGCATTGCTCTACAAAGCAGGAATTTATTATTATTATTATTATTATTATTATTATTATTATTATTATTATTATTATTATTATTATTATTATTATTATATTTAAAATTTATATTCTGTATTTTTATATTTACTTTAAATAAAAATTGTATAATTTTTTGTTTAATTTTTATTTTTGATATAGTGCAAATTGGTTTAAAATGATTTTAAGTAACGTATTAATAAATAATTGCACAATTTAAATTTATGAAGTTGTTTCTTTGATCTATAAAATGTAATTTTATGTAAATCAAATTGTTACGTAATACGAATCTTTTTTTAAAATTTTTACCCAATAAAGTTGTTTTCAAATATTTACATGAATTGTTTCATTTCAAATTTTTAAAAATAGTTTTACATAATTTGAATTTCTATTATCATTATTTATAATATTTGAATATAATTTATATATTGATAAAAGAGAATAATCGTGAAAAAATGTTAATTTTATTAATGAAAGAAAATAATTTTTTAGGTGATATAAATGTAGAATCATTTTTGTAAGTAAGTTGAAATTACATTAATGAAGAGAAAAATAGAGGTGAATTACAACTTGATAATAATAACACAATGGGAGCATAAAAAATTACAGAGATGTGAATAGTCTTAAAACTCACTTTTTGTATAAGGGAATCCAAATGGAAAATACGGAGACAGATTATTTTTTTAAAAGATAAAAGATGCATTTGGTAAATAGTTATTACCTGAATGGTTACTTGCTTTGATTAGTTGATTGTAGAACACTATATGGTTATCAAAATGACTTTCTCAAAAAACTTATCGAAAAAGTTGCTTTGAGTAACTTTTTGAATTTTAACGTTTTAGAGCAATAAGTTGTTACAAAAAGCTAATTAATCAAATACTTATATTGATTGTTTAACCAAGTCAAACAACTAAGTGATCAAATAAGTCAAAGTTAACTGATAAGTTAACTATGTTACCAAACAGGGCCATTCTCATTCACAATGCAATTTTTTTTTATTATTATAACAAAAGAAGGGGATACTCACAATCACATATACAAATCTACGTCTGCACCGAGGCTCGAACCTTAGACTTTCAACTCCACAATGCAAATTTGATACGGAGTATTTTTTTATTAAAAAATTAACATTATTTTTTGTAATAATATTTTTATATTTTCATTTCAAATGTAAAAATAAACCGTCAGTTTATTTTATTAAAGTTCATTATTAAATAATTCCCTTGTTTGAATCAAACTCGATTTAGTAGCCAACTGTTTAGCTCATGATGGATGGATCATGGATGTATACTTTTCTTTTGTTGATTTTAAAATTTTATGAGCCAATCACATATATAGTGAAGGGTCTACCTATTCTTGATTAAAAGGTAGGGCCCATCACTTTGGATTTGTCAATGACTTCTTCATATAAAATAAATTAAAAGAGATTGCCCAACTTCCATTGGATGGAAAATTATATTACATGGTTCATATGGTAATATAGCTCACGAACAAATGTATATTTTTAATATATTGAATATATATTTTTTAATAATAGATAATTTTATTGGAACCGAGTTCAGCATAAATCGGATATTATAATACAAAATGAAGTAAGAAATAATAGTATTATTAGTTCGAGATACTGGCCCAAAACGGCAAACATAAACCGAATATGATAATAAAGAATTGGGTAGGAAATAGTAGTATTATTAGCTGAAGATATTGGTCCAAAACGACAACCTAAATAATACAAGCTATGACCCACAGGCGGCGCCAATGTTGAATTTACGGCTTATGGACAGCCGATCGACGGACCAACACTACCGTAAAATACTAAGTGAAAGAGAAAACATATGTGAAAATAATAAGACAGAGTAACGGTGCTTCTATTGAAAATTGGATCCCCCACAATGTAACCTCAGGAGGGTATTTTTACAAGGAATATGGCCTTGAAGAAGGCAAGAAGAGAAGAATTAACTAAAATAGACTTAGGAAAGCTTCTAAAAATGTTGAAGTAACTTCCTTATGTGAGAAAAGGAAGTTACTTTGCGCACACGGAAAAAATCTCCGCTAAATCTGCCCTTAATTGCATCTGGAGTGCGCACTCGGTTAGGGACACGTCGACTGCCTAGCTTGGTCGCCCAACCAAGCCGACTAGGGGGCCGCCTAAGTGCTATGCAATCATAAGAACAATAGAGATCTCCTCCTCCGAACTGCTAAGTGTCGTACGCGCCTCTTCCTGACTGCCTACATTGTTCCCCGTTGAGCACCCGTCTAGGGGGTATCTATCATCTATCACTTTTAAGGTCTTTAAAAGTCTACAAAAATCAGGATTGAATACACCCGCTAAGTTCATTTATATAACTTTGTTTTCAATTAGATTCCTAAACCTATTTCCAAAAAAAAAAAAAAAAAAAAAGATTCCTAAAACTATTAATATCTGTTCATACATATTTTCTCAACCTACTAAAGCACAAAGAACTAATACTCCATACTGAGGTTTGAACTTGAAACCCCTCATTTGAGGGGTCACAATTATGTTGCTCAACCACAAGGCCTTTAGCAAAATGTGTCTAATCTAAAACACATAAATGTCGTTTTTCTCTATAATTTTGTGCACATCAGTGTGAGAATAATGTGACGATTTATATCATGGACCAGTGTTCACATAACATTATAGACCATGGATCGAAACGATGAGGTACAGAAGTCGTACTAGTAAAGTTCAAAATTCCATAACAGAAGATACAAAAAATCACAACACAAGACACATACACGTACATGTTATATATTTACTTATTTTTCAAATATGATTTAAGTACATAATTTGTATTCATACGCACAGAATTTCACAATACAAGATATAGAAATTAATAACATAAGACACAATTACTAATTTGTTTAA